GGTTGCCGAATCTGATCAATGAGTGGGAGAGAGATACACGATAAAACGGAGGAGGCTTGTCAAAGCCGAGTTTGCTCCTTTGACATGCCGCATCTGAGCAATGAGTGCGAGAGAGAGAATGGACAAAACAGCGTATGGACAACTCCAAGTTGAGCCTTAGTCCCCATTTACTGCCGTTCTTTCAAGGGCTCATAATCGGAAAGCACTCTTGTGCTTTTTCGGGGCACCCGGATTAGGGCTCGCCAATACCACCGCGGACCAAATTAAGAGGCCCAGCCTGAATATTTGCGAGTGTGTGTATGTGTCCCTTTGACGAGCCGCGGGTCTCCGCATCTGATCAATGAGTGGGAGAGAGATAGACGATAATACGGCGGCTTGTCAAAGCCGAGTGTGCTCCTTTGACGTGCCGCATCTGAGCAATGAGTGCAAGAGAGAGAAAGGGCAAAACAGCTTATGGACAAGTCCAAGTAGAGCCTTAGTCCCCATTTACTGCCGTTCTTTCAAGGGCTCATGGTCGGAAAGCACTCCGGTACTTTTTCGCGGCACCCGGACTCGGGCTTGCCACTACCACCGCGGACCAAATTTCGAGGCCCAGCCTGTATTTTTTCGAGTGTGTGTGTCCGTTTGACGAGCCGGGGGTTGCCACATCTGATCAATGAGTGGGAGAGAGATAGACGCTAAAACGGCGGCTTGTCAAAGCCGAGTCTGCTCCTTTGACGTGCCGCATCGGAGCAATGAGTGCGAGAGAGAGAAAGGACAAAACAGCGTATGGACCAGTCTAAGTTGAGCCTTAGTGCCCGTTTACGGCCGTTCTTTCCAGGGCTCATGGTCGGAACGCACTCCGGTGTTTTTTCGCGGCACCCGGATTCGGGCTCACCACTACCACCGCGGACCAAATTACGAGGCCGAGCCTGTATATTTGCGAGTGTGTGTGTGTGTCCCTTTGACGAGCCGCGGGTTTCCGCATCTGCTCATTGAGTGGGAGAGAGATAGGCGATAAAACGGCGGCTTGTCAAAGCCGAGTGTGCTCCTTTGACGTGCCGCACCTGAGCAATGAGTGTGAGGGAGAGAAAGGACAAAACAGCGTATGGACCGATCCAAGTTGAGCCTTTGTCCCCGTTTGCGGCCGATCTTTCCAGGGCTCATGGTCGGAACGCGCTCCGGTGCTTTTTCCCGGCACTCGGATTCGGGCTCGCCACTACCACCGCGGACCAAATTACGAGGCCCAGCTTGTATTTTTTCGAGTGTGTGGTTCCCTTTGACGAGCCGCGGGTTGCCGGATCTGATCAATGCATGATTTCTAGGGAAATGGACAATTAAACGGCGGCCTGTCAAAGCCGAGTTTGCTCCTTTGACGTGCCGCATCTGAGCAATGAGTGCGAGGGAGAGAAAGGACAAAACAGCGTATGGACCGATCCAAGTTGAGCCTTAGTCCCTGTTTACGGCCGTTCTTTCCAGGGCTCATGGTCGGAACGCGCTCCGGTGCTTTTTCCCGGCACTCGGATTCGGGCTCGCCACTACCACCGCGGACCAAATTACGAGGCCCAGCCTGTATTTTTTCGAGTGTGTGGTTCCCTTTGACGAGCCGCGGGTTGCCGGATCTGATCAATGCATGATTTCTAGGGAAATGGACAATTAAACGGCGGCCTGTCAAAGCCGAGTTTGCTCCTTTGACGTGCCGCATCTGAGCAATGAGTGCGAGAGAGAGAAAGGACAAAACAGCGTATGGACCGATCCACGTTGAGCCTTAGTCCCCATTTACTGCCGTTCTTTCAAGGGCTCATGGTCGGAAAGCACTCCGGTACTTTTTCGCGGCACCTGGATTCGGGCTCGCCACTACCACCGCGGACCAAATTACGAGGCCCAGCCTGTATTTTTGTTTTTTTCGTGTGTTATTCGTAGATATGCTAGTTTAAATTGTTTCTGCCGTATAATTGAAATTTTTTTCAAATTTAGCTTCTTATCGATGTTACGGCAAGTCGCCATCTTGTTTGTTTATTTTTGGCCCTAAGAGCATCATGATGCCTAAAAACTCGTTGACCAATCAAAAAGCGGAACAGTTTTCCTGTAGTAAAACGATACGAATGGCCATACTCTGTCTAAAAAGGTACTGTAGGCATGCGAAGTGCGAAAGCGTGAGGACTTTTTCTACAGGATAGGCAACTTTAGAAAATTGATGGCACTATACCAGTAGTGAAAGAAATTGACCGGAGCGAGAGAAATTTCCTCTTGAATCTGATTATAAAGCTTTAATAAAGTATAATAGTAATGTGTAATAATGGTTTTTGATCAAATAAGATTGTATCAATTACTGTTATGCTAAGTATTCTCAGGCCCGCCACAAGGGGGGAGGGATACTGGGTCCCTGGTTCCGGGGCACGGGCCCTGGAGGGGCCCGTGCCACTGGTGAGAAACCACTACGAATTCACACATAACCCTTGACTCGTAAGGAAAAGTGAAAAATTTACCCTTAAAATTTCGCCAAAGGTGAATAAATTTTCAAAAACATGCTACGGCATTGTAGAATTTTTCTTGCTTCTTTTAAAATTTCTATCTGTTTTCAAGATTTTTAGTATGGATTGATATTTTTTATAACTGCGTTTCATTTTCTTCCGTCGTCAGACGCTAAGTCTCCAGTCTGGGCATCCTCGACTTCAATGACTCAACTTCCTTGCCGTAGACGTACGAAAGGGGAGTCCAGGGAGGCTTGAACCCCCCTAGAATTGAAAATAGTATCATCTGCCCCCTCCCGAAAAAAATTTCCATGCAGGTGTTTAGAATGCAACAATCCGAAAGTATTTTGTGCTTAAAGTAAAAAAAAAAGGCGTAATTATTCTCACACTGTTGGAAAGTCTCCGTCATGGGAGCTTCAAAATGCGCCTAAGTAGATTTAAAATTTTAAAAATCTCCCAGGGGAGGCCCCCGGAACCCCTCTGTGATGGGGGCCCGAGCCTGAAAACTGGTACCAGGGCCCGAGATAGGATGTGGCGGGCCTGAGTATTCTGCTTCAATATTCTTACAACAGTTGGTAGCAAATTAACCGCTCTCATGGGGGCCTGGCGGTAATTTAAAACTAACTAGAAACCAAAAGTCTCATTTTGCTAGGATTTTGCTTTAATTTTCGGTTTCTAAGGCTTTAAACTTCAAAAATATGATATATTATAATCTGACGGTGAAAACCGATTCATCCAGAATAGATGAGAGATAGACATTTCAAATTGAGGGGGAAAGTGCTGCATCTTTTAATCTGGAAATATTGAACCACATAAATTCTACTGAAAAACTTATTCTTGAACTCTTCGGAACGTTTTATCCCACAAAAATCTGAAAAAGAAGTATTCTCCCGCCGAAAATCTGCTGCAAATAGCCAAAATTTCAGTTTTGGTTCCTAGTTTTAAATGCCCATGGATTTTCCCGCCAAATGGCTTTCACAAAACTACTCACGCTCTTCCGCTCTAAAATCTGTGGCAGGTCTTTTCGTCTGTGGCACGTACTTGAGTCGACTGTTCAGCAGAGATTCCTTCTTGAGCTCGGAAGGTCGGGATGACAAAAATCCTGCCGAATTTCCATCGCAAACTGTCTGGTGCGCAATCGGGAGCATCGGTGTTTCCGTTCTGCAGACTCACTGCACTCCCCACGCGCTGCAGGATTTTTGTCAACCCTCGCCTGTCGGGCCAAGCAGGAATCTTTTAAACTCAAACCAACTTAAACGCCTTTTTTTTTAAAGGAAATTCTGCATGATTTCTATTCTATTATCTATATGATTAGGAATTCTAAGTAATAAAGACCATAAGGAATACAAAAAATACAAATAAGGGGCCGTCCATAAATTACGTAAGGCTCTTAGGGGGAGGGGGGGGGTCTATAATAGCCTTTCGGTGCCTTACGAGAGGGGAGGAGAGGGCACGGCTGAGCCTTACGTCAACTTTTTAGCCTATATTTCAAGAAAATGCAAAAATCCATTTTTCGTCAGGTTGATAATAAAATTCAAGATGAAATAGAGGAAATCAGGAAACCATCGATTGCTGACCGATCGAACCATGTCCTATCATTTCTTTTGATTCCCACTTCTCCACTCATTCTCACGATGATGAGTGGTGATTTCATCTTTACGTTAACCTTGTACTTTTAACTATTTACTCCCAAGGAAAAAAAAAATCTTCAATTTTGCTCCATATTTTTGTTTATTAAACTAATTATATCATGAATCTTTCGTGTGAACTTACTCCAGAAGTTTAATTTCACTTATAAAAATTGTGGCTTAAAAATTTCATTGTTTTCTAACGGGAAACGTAATGCTTCGATCTACGATAACTGAAAAAAAAAGGGGGGGGTTATTCGAGCCTTACGTAATTTTTAGAGGGGGGGGGTTAAGGGATGCCTTACGGTGCTGCACAAGGAGAAGTATGGGGGTCTAAAAATGGGGAAAAGGTCTTACGTAATTTATTCTAAAGGATGTTAACTGAACACTATGTTACATTAATTTCTGTCTGGAGTCTGCTTTTTCCTCCAATAAAAAACAAGTTTATTGGACGGCTCCTGTATACCCTTATACAGGCACCCTGAACCTTGGATCCAGAATTTTCTCTGAAGCAAGAGGAGCCCTTTTCAATTACGTTTCAATCAAAATGTAACCCTCACTCTTATTTTTTGGAAAAAATCCCTTCGATGCACTACGCGGCATTTATAAAATAAGATCAAGTCGTAAAAAAGTATCCTCCTGGCGGGCGCGAACCTCAATTATTGCTGCAAGCAGGCAAGCATATTTCCACCAATCCACCCCGCTACGCTGATACATTTGATGAAATTGCCAGTACATAAGGCAAATAAAGTTCTTTCTTTCTCCACCAGAGCTGAGAGTAGAGACGCATCGGTGACACGCTCTTGCTTACTGATGATCTGCGGCAGGATTTTTGTCATCCCTAACCTTCCGAGCCAAGAAGGAATCTCTGCTAAACTCAAACGCCTGCTGGCGCATGCGCACTTGTTTTGTTTGGGTTTTTGTAACTCGCTTCATGCTTGATAACAGAACTTAGTCCCAGTGATAACACAGCTTTTCCCGGTTACTCAATAATTTTACAATTAGTAATAATAAATCGTGAAGTTTATAGTGACAGTAATTGTTTGTTAGTTGACAGCACGCCTCGTGACATTATTATTTCACCATGCATACCAAGTATAGTGGCGTAGCTTAAATGTCATCTCTTTGCAAAGGTTTTCCTCATAGACCGCCTTTGAACATGAAGATCATGATATTGTACCGAGACATGATAATGAAGACCAGAAATTTTCTCCTTTTCACAAAGTTTATCAGACAGGAAAACAAACCTGACTAGCACTAAGAACCATGATTAGTTTCAAGCATTATATGCTCCATTCAGGTACCAGGTGACCGTGTCAATCAATTCATTTCAATCCATGATCAATCCCTAAATTTTTTTAAATGAATAGGTGCCGATTAAGTATGTTGCCTCAGCCAGTAGTAACCAGTCTGTTCCAGGGTTTTTTTGTGCCAAATGACACTGCTTAGCCCTCCTCTAATTTTTTCGCTAACATTCAATCTTCTCATAGACTCACTAAAAGTAATGGCTGCATCATTCTTGCGGAATTCAGAATATCTTATCTCGGTGTTAAATGGCCCCTATCAAAACAATAAAGCATAGCCTCAAGTCGGAGTTTTATGTCGAGCATTTACTTAGTTGTTTCACTACGCAATCCTCAATATTAAATCACTAAGATGTCAATGACTTATCGAAGACAAGTAACTTTGATTGCAAAAACACTCAGATGCCTTCACCCCCTTGCCTTTAATACAGTGAAGTTATGTATCTGTTTAATCAGAGCCTTCAATCAGCAATGGAACATGTAGAATGACATAGTCACTGAATCATTCTATCCTAGTCCCACCTTCTCTGTGCACTAGTACTTGTTTCAAGTCGTAAATTTCCAAGTAACCTTCTTTTCTTATTTTAGGGGAGGTCCCTCAATACCGCCTTACGACTACCGAGGATTTCTTGCTTCTGTTTCCTTCATCAAGAAAATGATACCTACAGTGATGACGACTGAAACTACTCCAGCATTAACGACAGAGCTGCCATACACTGCCAGGAGTAAGAATCCTCATTCACTTTAATTTCACGTAATTGTGGCATCCATCAAACACACACTTGTCAAATTTTATGTACTCTGCCAATATAACCATTACCATATATTGATGGTGAAAGTACCAGACCACTTACCTTGGTTTGCGATGTTGCAGTCTTTGTGTCATACTTTATTTTTTAGATGAAAAACTACTCAACGTCAATTCTTTAATACTTCCGTGATTTTTCTTCTCTGTATGAAAAAAAATCTGTGAAAACGTCAAGGAATGATATTGGTTTGTTCCTCATCACGAAAATAAAATGGGAGCAGCGATTTTTAAGCACTGCAAATGAGATACGTGGTATGGTAGTTCCACTGTCAATATTTGTTCACCAGTAGTGCTGCAAAGAATTTCAATGAACCATGTGGATTTAGAGGGATACTAGTGCTATGAGAATATGCTGAACTCCAAGTATGCTGCATCAGCCTTCTCTGTGAAGCTTTTGCCTATCTCTTTGAACAATTTGATGGTCAAACTTCAAAACCATGTCTTCGGCATCGAAGACCTCCTGTTACACTCAATATTTTCTTTTGAAAAATTGTCACCTTGATTTCTTGAAAACTTTCTTGATTTTTCCTCCTGCTCGTAGAATATTCTGTATGAGGGTGGTTTCATGATAACTGGAATAGTTTTATCGCCGCAACAGACAACACATTTTTGGTCATATTTTTAGTAGGAATGATATAATCACTCTAATTTTTTAGCATTAATCTACACAGGGTTACGTGTGATAACGCTTTTGAAAGATTTATCGCTTTACTTTTAAATTGACTTTACTTACTTTACTGCAATTTTAATATATAAATGGCCGAAAATGTGCTGTCTGTTACGCCGACTTTTTTAACCGCCCAACAGACAGCACATTTTCGGAATTTACATAATGTTGATTGAGAAGTAGAGGAAGAAATATTAGAAAACGTTATAATACGTAATCCTTTGAAGACTAATGCAAAAAAATTCGAGTGATTATCATTTCTACTAAAAATATGACCGAATAATGTGGAGTCTTTTACGGCGACAAAACTATTCCAGTTATCGTGAAACACCCATGAATCTCAAGCTATACCTACAGTTGGCCTGTTTCTCTTCAAAGAAATAAAATAGGAGTGGACATATTGAAACATTGTAATGGAAATGCATGGTTTTGTACTGTGGCCATCCAGTTGCACCCGCTTCAACAAGTTGCTAGTGAAATTCTAATGACACAAACCAAATAAGGTGTTTCAAAACGTAGGTAGGTATACATTTTATATTTCTGAGGGAAAATTTCAGCCTTGATGGTGCAGGTCATGGTTGAGCAAGTTTGCTGCCAGCACTGGGTTCCTGAACTAGATTCAATCCCGGGAAATTATGGACTTTGAAGAACATTTAGAAGTCAGTCAGTTGATGGATCACCATTGGATAATTTCTGTGAGAGGATTAAGTTTGATTTTGGCTCACTGCCAACCCTCATCTCAACAAAAAAATACTCTATTGGGGTGACAGTGCACCTACAACCGAAGGTTTTCATGTTGGTAGCAATGATTGCCACATCCAAAATTCTCGACCCAACCCTCATCTAATTATCACCTGAGGCATCATGTCCGTCAACTTAGACACCTACTGTAATAGAAAACACCAACATTTTTGTCTAAAAATTTTCCTAAATGTTCTTCCTAAAGTGGAGGAAATTCCAAGAGAAAATATTGGGTTCCTAATTTTTCCGGAAAAAAATTAAGTGTCCAAAAATTTCCTGTATCGCAAGCTGAGATGGATCCATTTATTAAGCCTTACCTACCTATGCAATTTAGTCGGTTTGAATATCTGGTTGCCCAAAAATATGTTTCTTCTCAAATGCACTTTCAAGTGAGAAAATGAAGGAGAAAACAGGAGGAGAAAAATGAATGAGTTTTTTACTTAAATTTTTTCTCACTGGATCATATTTCTTTATCACTATGAGTCACCAGTCTCTATTCTAGAGTCCTGCCGCAGAAAAGTTCTGTATGAGCATTCAAATGTCGCCAAATTTCCCTCAAGAAAATATTTATTTCTGCGGAAAGTTATGCATAATTTTTTTTTTTTTTTTAAAGTTTCAGATATTTTATATTAAATGGAGAACAAAGTCATCCAGAAACTTTGAAGGAAAATACAATTTTCCATGTTAATTCGAATTTTATTTGGAGAGGTATGGCAATGTCTGAGGGCTCATACAGCGTTTTTCTATAGCTCGGAATTATTTTTCTCTAAATAAGCTTGTAGTGCAGTCAATCATCAGATGGAGAACATCCTAATTGTTGGAGAAGTTCTTACCTCCACACCTAAAAATTCTTGTATCTTTAAAATTAAGAACTCATGAAAGTGTTGCTTTTTATATTTTTTTGGAAGTATACTATTTACCATATTATGTGTTTGTTTTCAGTGGAAAGTTACGGTAATAATTCACACAATGGATGTGGGATCCAAATTCTTGCTAATGACTCGAGAACAGGTCACTTTAACTCCCGCCCTCTGGAACACCATCGTAATTGCTCCATCGTTTTTGTGGGCAATCCCAACGATGTCGTCCATCTTTCAGTATTTAATTACAAATTGAAGTAAGTTTTCTTTGTAATGCCCTGTGCCTGGTAATTGCTTTGTGCCAGTAATTCGGGAATAGAAACGCTTTATCCACTTTTGGCGTGAGTGTATTATGGATGGAACTAAAATTAATCCTAATTTACCTTGAAAAAAAAGTATGTCCCAGGTGTGCAAGCTGAAAAGACAGGGACATTACAGGAAAAATCAGGGAATTTTGCAGGTTCGCTTCGGAACTTAAGCTGATACCATACAACTTCAGAGTGCCTTTTTCCTCAATTTAACTCTCTAGCAGTTGAGATTTTTTCCATTCAGAAGTCAGTGCAATCTAAAGAAAAAAAGCCGAAGTGGAGATTTTGATTGAAGACCAGAGAAAGTCTGAGAAAATTTATATTTCGAAGTCAGGTTAAAGCAAAAATGGTCAAAAAATCGGAAATTAAAATTTTTTTTAAAAACTCTGAATAATCTTGTAAAAAGTTTGACAGAGCCAAAGTTTACGTTTGTCTCTACTCAAACTGTGAGTCAGGTACAGTACGATGAATCAAAGAAGAATCACATCATTACTGCAGAGAGTAATCCAAAAACTTATGGAAAGTCCTAGATCAATTTCAGGTAATACAGCTCATAGGCATTGCACCTACACTGCAACTGTAGCTCTCAAAAATGATTTACTTTTGGTGCAGCTTCAAAGCATATAAGCTATATGCGTTACTCCCACCTTCTGTTAGTGCTCAGTTGTGTGCAATATAATCTTTTAACTGCGGCCTCTAACCAAAGTGCAAACACGTCTTGACTATACGACTGGCTAGCTGTAAATGGTTGCTTGTTAAAATGGAAAAATCACAAAAAGAGGACTACATAATGAAAAGTTTAACTTGCGAACCTGAGATTCATTTTTTCACATTCCATACCTACATGGAAAAACATTCTTAGAAAATTTCAAGGAAAAAGTTCATGAAGTTCTCCTTTAAAAAGGTAAAATTTGAATGGAAAAAATGGTGCCAATAGAGGCATGTACATTTCAACTATAACCATCGATATCCTCCTTTTTTTTTAAAGAAACAAATGTTACCCTCGACTGTCACAAGTTTCTTATGATTTTATTCCAATAAACGTTAACAAAAATTTTACGTACAGTTTTAATTTTGCATTTTACCTCATGTTTCCCAGTAACACGAAAACTTTTGTTTGTATTTCACAAAATTTTGATGCCAATTTTTTTTTCATTTTTTTTTTTTCATAGCTTTAAATTCTGCATCTATTTCAAATGAATAATCCACAAAAAAGTTCCCCACTTTGTATAGAATAATAATTTTCTAATTTGAAGCAACAGTCTCTCCAGGTATAAACTGTTGTCTCCTGGTATTTTTATACTTATATGTTTTTCTCTGTTTCTCAGAGCACCTGCTTGTCAGTCTTATTTGGAGCTGTATGACGGACCGATAGGAGGAAATAAACCAATGAAGCGTATTTGTAGCCCTCAGACAAAACATGCTCGTGATGCTAGTGGCAAGTAAGTTATCCTGCACCATCATTTCGGCACCAATCTGTTAGTTTGGAAGATACTGTCACCTCCCATTTGTCAAACTTTTCAAGGTTACCCATTCATGAAAATTACTATCTCATACAAACGGTGACAATTTTTCCGGCGAGGCAGGCCTCATCAGACTTGTTAAGGAAGGAGATTTACATTTTCTGACTACAAATTGAAGGGGAAAAAAAGGAAAAAATTAATGATAATAATGGTGATGTTTCAGGGTCAGGAGGTGAACATAGCTCCCTTCCTTTACAACCTTTTGCTGAATTGAATTTTTATTTTAGAAAATAACAAATGAGATAGCCTTCATTGGGTTGCGCACAATGTCTAGTGTTTTTATGGAAAAAAATTAATGAGAATAATGGTGATGTTTCAGAGTCAGGAGGTGAACATAGCTCCCTTCCTATACAACTTTTTGCTGAATTGAATTTTTATTTTAGAAAATAACAAATGAGATAGCCTTCATTGGGTTGCACACCATGTCTAGTGTTTGTATGGCCATGGCAAAAAATCTAGTGCAGCGGTCGTCGAAGTAGGAGCTCTTGCTATGAATCAATGGGCCAAAAAAAACATGCCTTATCAGTCTCTATTTTGTAAACAACGCACTTTACAAGGAAACTCAAGAGACCTTTTTTCTTCAAGAACTCTAGAACAGTCTAACTTACATACCAAGAACATATTTTTATCTATGTTAAACATAGAGGAAAACATGTGGTGGCACAAAGCATGACACTATGTATCCATGAGAGGAGGTATACTCAGTGGCTCTCGGTAACCTATAAGACAAATGTAGGAACAAAATAATAAGTACATATTTTCTTTTTTTTTTTTTTTTTTCTTTTTTGAAAATGAGGGAATTCTGCCAAAGAAAATTTAAACCAAGAGACAAAAAATAAAAACTTTAAAATTTCTACCCGGGAAATGAATTTAAAAAATATAATCAAATTTAAAGTGGCAGCCATCAGGAAAGCATGGCTTGTAATTGCTCAATAAAAGAAGTAGATAGGTAGCGCAAAGCGCTGCAGGGTGAGGACCAATTTTATCCGCAATGATATAATTTGTATTTTTTTCGTACACAGCTGTTTAAGTAAAGTATAAAAAATGAAGAGACAAAATTGTGAAATAATTCTAAGAAAATATAAAAATCATGTGCGATTCTCAGTATTTTTTTATGAGGATGGTTGAGCCACTTGTGAAAAGCACGGTCTTTTGAAAAAAATGATTTTCCTTGAAGTGTTTCCACCGACAAAATGTGTCCCAAAACAGCTTTTTGGAGTTGAAAAATTCCTACATTTTCCAGGAGGCAGCCCCCTTCCTAGATCCCTCCTAGATGCAGCAGTATCACGAGGCAAGAGACCTCTGATTACAAGGAGAATTCCTATTAGCTTATTGTTACAGGAAAACTAATAACATTTTCAGTCAAAATTTTTCTCAGCACCCAAAAAAATTATCTTTAACTGCCATAGGTATGTAGAGAGAAGAGCTCAAAATCAGCCTAACAAGGTAAGAAAAGCTAAAAGAATGATTTTTAAGCTTGCTCGATCCACTATTTGCTGACCACACTTGTTTGTGTGGATGAGGGTTGGGACAAGACTTTTGAGACAGCCCATGTATCCATGAAAATATGAACAGAAATTTTGTATATTTTCAGTACAGAATCTAATGTTCATTATTAATTTTTTAATATTTTCAGAAAGTATGTCTTTTTGGATCCTCCTCCAAAGATGATTTCCTGAAATGAGTTTTTTACTTTTCGAAGAGCTTAAATGCCAAACAATCATGAGATCTGGAATTCATGACGGATTTTAGGAACGAAAGCTTGTGAAGTTTTGGTGCTCATACTTTTCGGAAAATACTATGTTCACATCGCATCACTCTTACTTAGAGTCATTGAGGGCAAATCATAAATGCATGCTTTTGCATTTATAATTTCATTTTTTAAACAATTTTTTCAAGTACAACAAGCTATCTATCCATGTTAATTCATTTTTTTCAGCCTCATGTGAAATGAAGAAATTTTCCTGCTTTGGCTTTTATTTCTAGGCCTTTTTTTTGTACTCCTCATCATTTGCGCAGCAATATTACTCATAGTTTATTCATTTAGTTCTCCTCTAGGAATCCTTGATAATCAGTTGATGCGATTTATTTTTCCAGGTTTCACTCACATGAAACTTTGATGTCTTCAGGGAATACATTCTCTATTCTTTTGCACCGTCTCTTGGGTGAAACTTACGCAGACGTAGAACATATTGATGGAGCGTATGCCTTTCATGATGGTAAGAATTTTTACTTCAAAAGTAGTACTGCCCTAGAAACAATGCCTGTTCAAAATCAAAATTTAAAAAAAAAAAATAAAAAAAAAAAAAAACCTGAGCAACTGATGGGAAAATTCAACTGTGACGAAAATGTCAATCTTTGATGTTTTGTAAAGCAAGTGAAAGTCTTCATAGACGAAAAGAAGCTATTATTATGAATTTTATTAAAAAAAAGCCCTGGATTTTATGCACATTTTTCACAATTTTTACTTTAGTACTTAATTTTTGTCGATTTACGAGGAGATTACAAAAAACTATCTTGTAAAGTTTTATTTGAAGTTGAGTACATTGATTAGTCCAAAAATTCACTAGAATTCAATGTTAATTTTAAGGTGTGTTACAAGATTCAAGCAATATTTAAAAGTGAGCAGAAAAGTAATTTGAAATTTATTTTTCAGTCATATTATATAAAAATTAGTGATAAAATTGCTTCTTTAAGTTTTTTACTAGTTTTTTTTTAAAAAAAAAAAATTAAAATGGAAAAAGAGAAAATACGCAAGGAAAATAACGTGCCCAAACAAGCTGTGAAAGTGATAAGCAGATTATGGAGGTATAAATGTCTCCTAGAAATTCCAGTGTTTGGTTTTGAACAATAAGATTCCCCTTCAAGATATTTTCAAGAATCTTTCAGTGATCTGATGTCATCTATGAACACCAGGTAATTCAGAAAGTGTAAAATGAAACCCTCCTCCTGATGTAAGATAACTCCATTTGAAAAACACAGTCAATTAGTGCCAAGTCAAGCTTTTATTGAGACCAAAAGTTACTGAAATCAAATGTTTCTTTGGTCTCTTGACATTTTCAAAATGAACAATGTAATAAAACAGGGTTCAGGTTAATTTACACTGATTTTCACAGAAGAGAAGCTGCTTATGTTGAAGAAAAAAGCTCCAATTTTTACGAGGCTAATATTGTAAAACAGGACCTAAAGGTATTATTGGACCTGTTATACCAGAAGAATATTCAGTAAAGTTTTTTTTTTATTGAAATAATGATTATCTGCCAAAAAGCCATAGTACAATCTACTTACTTTATCGGTTTTTTACAAAACATTTCTTTTCATCTGCATATTACAATTAGCTTAAAACTAGCACAGATTTTGTTTTACTCTTGAGATGTAGTATCTAGGATTTTTCTCGTCCCACAATCATAGGTCATAGGTAAATATAGTTAAGACTGAGCGTCTTTGAAAACAAATTTTTTGACACAACAAGCTTTTACTGTAATTATGAATGTGGATCACTTTTTTTTAGAGCTAATGTTCCAAATAATTTTTTTGAAAAGTTATCTAAGATTAAGTCATCACAGTTTTTTTGGACTGTATTAACGGCCACAGTGTGAAATCATGCACCTTTGTTTGCAACAACAAATAATTTGTTGTTGCATGTACCTTTGACTTCCCGTCATGCTTTATTCCTTTCTAGGAAAACTAGTCTACGTAGTAATTTGAACATTTCTGTGATTTTCCTCTCTGTTAGCAGACAAGGTACGAGTTTGAAGCTATGAAGTTGACTCGTCTCTCTTTGAAAAAATAAAATAGGAGCGAACATTTTGAAACATTTCAATTGAGATTTGTTGTTTCACACCATCAATATTGTAGGAATTGGTGCATTTTGTTTTTTGTAATTTAAATCAAGCCCTAATGCTAAATCTGTGTTCATTTTTCAGAACAAAAAG